GAGGGGGCGGAGACAAGACCAGTCTCCCTGCAGAAGGAGAGAGCAGCAGTGACCGGTCTGTATTACAGGAAGTCTCACACTGGATGACGGCACGGATCTGGAAGAATACACAGGTCTCTGTATGAGGACAACGTCTGCTGATCCCGGATTTCGGCTTTAATTGAGAATGTGGGCGCCTGCCAGAAGCCGCGCTCGGTAATGTCTATTGATCGGCGAACACGCGCGGCGCGTGGGGCCGAACATTCCTCTGCTGCTGCGGTGTGAAGATCTCTGGATATGGATCCGATAATCTCTGCAATGAGAAGGTCTTCCGGCGCTTACAATTGACCCTTTCACTGCCTGACCGTCGCCCAGATCTGCCACATCGGCTGTACGCAGGCGGATTTGGCATTCAGGACGCGCAGCCGGAGAGCGTCTCTGTACAGAGACTGATGTGACTGGCTCAGTGTTCTCTGTGCAGAGGAGCTTACACTCTAATGTCTAATGAATATTATCCTCCCTGGCAATGAAGGTGTTAAGTCCTCCGTGTCTCTCTAGCGGATAAGATACAAGGGACACACACAGGAGACACGCTGACCCGGACACAGAGCCCCATTCCTCTCCATGTCACCACCCTATACCACGGCGGGATTGCAGCACGTTATTTCGGAGGCTCCTATATGAATAGCGATCCTGAGACGGAATCTCCCTATAGTGGGGGGAATCCCCTGTAAGACGTTTGTGACCGGAACAGGTGATCCCGTCGGAAGATTTCCTTTTCGCTTCCTGTTTCTGTGACAACCAAAAAATTTTGGCACCGGACTTGGCAGAGGGAAAAGGAAAGACGGGGCACACGTGTGATGAGGAGGACGCACCCCGCAGTGTGGTTTACCCCATCCCCCACATGAAAATACTGCGGCCGGGGCAGCTGCGCTCGTTCCCCCTTTACTCCCTGCTCTAGTTAGTGCTTCAATGTATTGCCGAGTTCCTCCTGGGCGTGGCTGCCCCTCCTCCCTCCTTTATCCCCGCCCTGGCTATTGCTACAAAGTATCTCTTAAATCCTTCTGGGTATAACTACCCCTCTTGCACCTCTTGTGCCAGCTCTGGTTATTGTTACAATGTATCTCCGAGTTCCTCGTGGGCGTGGATGCCCCTCCTCCTTCCACCTCTTGCCCCAGCCATTGCTACAATGTATCTCTGAGTTCCTCGTGGGCGTGGCCAACAGTCACTTATAGAAATGCAGCGTCCATGGCGCACTATGCAGGCTTGCTCACAAATAAAGTGGCAGAGCGGAGGGGCCATCATGGAGTTTGAGAATTTCCCCGCATACGTCTCCCGGT